AAGCTGCGCGATCGATATCGATGGCTACATTTTGGTGTATGCGATTGATGATCGACGATCGTAAGTTGTAGTTTTTATAAGTGTACTTCCGCTTTTTTACTCATTTTCATTCTTGGGATAAAAAACCTCAATTAGGTATTGTTCGGAGTTATAATCCCATGCGATATGCTTATTTCCCCTATTATCCCGGTTTTCGGCAATTGGAGTTTTGCAGTTCGCATCTTGGAAGGCATCAACGGGATGATAATTGTACCGTTTGAAAAAACCATGATAAATGTCCATAGTAGCCAGGGCGACGGAACGCTAAACAGACTTGTCTTGAAGTTTGTAGTGTTTTCTTGACTATGTAACAACTCGTTCAAGATGTGAGCTAAAATTACTAAGATCACAGGAACTGTCATTTTGACCGAAGATACTGCTGTTCGCTTGCTAGAATAATCTATGGAATATGGAAAAATTTGAAGCTATTTTGATAGGGAGTACAGGTTTACCATGCGGTTAATATGTTTGGAGAAGTTCTTGTAAAATGTAACGTGCCTGCTTGGGTTCTTTAACCGCTTACAGTAGAAGTTCATAGGAATCAGTCTGTTCGTAATTCATGAAAATGTGTCATTTCGAACTTCTTATTTCGATGAAAAGGGGGAAATCTGGTAATGTGGAATTGGCCAAAAGCAAGCAGTCAGCTTTCGATAATGTATCATAATTGCAGGTTTGAAATTGTGCAGTCGATCTACGACAAAATAATGGAGAATTTTGGCGACAAGAAGTAAACATTTCATCTTTTATTAGATGCTTTATAAATTAAAATACTTGAATTCAGTGTTCTTTAATTGTCAGTGATCTTTGCTTTTAAATTCTAAGTTCAGACCAAAGTTAAAAGATAAAATTTTTCCCATATTCACCTCCTATAGAGGGTGGAGCACTCGGAATTAAGCTTTTTATTTTGCCTCAATAACAACGGTCTGCTTATGGAATTGCCGACAGCTTCTTCATCCGAGAGTTGCTAACTAAAGGTAATTTTGATTCATTGCCGCTCGCTAATATCGTTTAACATCGAGCTGGAACAGTTTTCTGTTGTGGGATTGGTTTTTTGTGCGTTTTTTGCATCTCTGCAATGTAAAAAACGCATATTGATGAGGGTTTTCTGTGTGTGTTTGTCTGTGTGTTCGTCTGTACCGGTTTTTCATCTCGAGGCCTACGAATGCTACAGGGCTGAAACTTTGGGGACTTAATCTATATGCACATAAGGGCTTCAGTCCCCAAAATGGGCGCTTTTACCGCGTGGTACCCATGTATGGGCCCGTGAAAGTTTTTTGTGGGTCAGCAACTAACTCGGGAACCAGAAAAGCTAGAAATCTGGAATTTTAAGTGGATGTTCCCGCCCACGTAAGACTCAGTGAGCTCAAACCCAGACACCGGGTATGCGTAGTTCCCACATATGGGCCGGTGGAAGATTTTTTCGGGTAAGTTGCTAACTCGGGAGTCTAAGAAGTTAAAAAACTGTAATTTTAAGGTATTGTTCCCTATCCACGTAGGTATTAATGAGCTCAAGCCTAGTCCTGGGGTATGAGTCATTCCCACGTATGGGCTTGTGAAATTTTTTTTTTTTTTTGGGGTGAGTTTGTAACTTAGGAATCTGAGAAGCTAGAAGGCTGAAAATCTGAAGGGATGTTTCCTGAGAGTCCTGGCGGCCAGCTTGCAATTCTTTTAACTAGAAGCATCTGCCGGAAAAAACGGTTCCGTTAGCTACAAAATTCTGCGGGGAACTATGCAAAAAACGCATCTTCGCACGGGCAGCCCGTGCGTTGGCCAATTGTCCTATCAGTGGAGCAGGACATTGAAGTGAAATAGGGATCAGCATCACTTGTCCAAAACACCTGCAAAAAAAGTTGCGTTTCAAAAGAGCAGATTAGCTGTAGCTGTGCGTATTTGTCCGTTTGCATACCTTTTGCTTGGTACTTTTTGGAGCTGCTGTATCTCTTCGGGCCACCGATTCAGCCGATAATGTTTCTGTTCTCCTTGTTCCTAAATTTATCGTGTCCCTTGTGCCTCGTGTAGACGTCTTTATGAATACTTGCGTCACACCGTTATGTTCATTTTACTTTGCGGTGAAACAATTGTCAGATAAACTTTGAACAGTACGATTTATTACATTTTGAACATTTCAGCATACCGATTGTGGTTGTAGGCAACAAGCTGGATTTGCAGTTCAGCGCTCGCCGCGTTACAACCGAAGAGGGCAAACATTTGGCGGCATCATGGAATGCTGCGTTTCTGGAAACATCAGCCAAGGATAATACTGTAAGATGACCACTTCATTAATGACTCTTTAGTTGAACAGATTTCTCATTTTCGTGATCGATTTCAAAATTATTTTTGATGCACGGCCCTTTTTTACATCAGATTACCACGGAAGTCGATTTGGGATATATTATGGCTTTTCTTATTGCTTATAGGATGTACTAACGATGTAACTACCCTTGTTCGTTGGCAGTTGTTTTTGTCTGGGTGATTCGGTAGTCTTTAAATATCACATATATTAAGTATGACGAGTACAGCAATCTCGAGCGATCATGATATATTTATGTAAATTTTTAACTTATTGCTTCGAAATTACTTGTACACAACTTAACCATTCTTCTTCTACGATGTTTTTTCCAGCCATTCATTTAATCTTAATTTTGATGATATTTTTGTACGCCATGGTTTTAGTTGTACTTTTTTATTTTTCTTTTCGAATAGAAATTTTGAGAAATTATGCTTGTAAAACTCTGTTCAGCTTCCGCAGGGTAGAGGAAGAGACAGGTTTTTTTTTCTCGAATTTTAATTCCAGCAATAGGCAATCTTAGCATTATTCCGAGATTGCCACGCAAAGATACTTTTAGCGAAGTTTTGGGGATGGAAATTTGAGGAATTATCATTTTTTTTTAAAAAAAAACAGTAGTTTTCAGCTCCCGTGCTTGCTTGGAACTAGTGCTTTAACTTATACTTTTTAGCGTGTGTTTAAACACATTTTCTTCTTGCCACCATTTTTTACGCTTACCTTCGAATGTGTTCATGGGATTTTCTATGCAGTTAATCCTCCTAAACTTCTTCCTTTGGAAAATATTCGATTTGGTTGGAGCATCAGAGGTTATTAGCAATTAAACCGAAGAAAAACGCGGGCAGCAGAAGCTACACATTTTGCATTCCGTCCGAAGGAACGAGGAACGAAGCAAGAAACAATCGGCAAAATTACCAGCAGGCCGACAATGAGATCACGCAAGTTCCGGCAGAACAGCCATGCGGAGGCGAAAACTACCTTGGTAGCGCAGAGTTGCGCAGATTTATAGGATTTATGCTGATCAAAGTGAAGTAAGCACTTCTTAACGGCTGAACAGAACGGAAAGTTGCTTCGATGGGGAGCGCAGCTACTTTTTTTTTTTATTTAAATACAGCGGTATGAAATTTTGTGGCAGTTTCGCCTGTTTTAAATTTTTATTTTTCAAATTTGTGAAGTTTTTTGCACGTTCACTTTTGCTTCTCATTTTTTTAATGCGCAAAACAAGTTCATAATTTTTCATGTTTTATCCCTTTTCATGTTTCTCCTTTGCAAAAATACATTCGCTGTTGTGAAGTAATTCGCATTAGCCAATTTCTTTGCAGTCGGTCCAGCAGATATTCGATTGTTTGCTGCGCGAAATTGAAATTGCAAACGGAAACATGAAACGAGAGACGAATGGCTGCATAATCGCCTGAACTTGGGACTGGGAAGAAAAACGAAGAAGCGGTGGCCTATGAATGTCGTTTCAACGTTGTACATAGTGGTGCATGAGGATTGTACATAAAATTTCTGTTGTACTATAATTGATTGTAACTTTTTGTGTGTCTAATTCGAGTTTTTTTTTGGGCTAATTTTTGTTTCGCTGTTTACTTGTTATTTTTGTTTGTTTAGCATTTTGGGGATTTTCCAATGAATTCGGTTTTCCGCTACAAATTGGTCATGCGGTGAATTTCGTGAAATTATTAGCTGTTTTGTCATTTTTACACGAATAGCGTAATGGTAAAAAACACGAATTCAACCTTGCGGACCAATGAAATTAGGTGAAAATGTGTACTTAGACCACCTATACAGTCTAATACTCATTGTCACTGTCAGCTGACTTCAGTTTTCATCCACAGATATAAGGCTGGAACGGCAATAACTCTGTCTCTGTGTAGCGTTCGCAGGAAAGTATGGAGGAGGATTAGGGATTGGCAAAAATGAAGATGGGATATCCCCCGTGGATTGAGGTTAGATAAATTTTTCTGTGGTTGTAGGTGCTAAAAATTGAGTTAATGATGATTTTTTTCTTTTTTTTTTTTTGAAATCCCCTATTCTAGTGATTAGAAGAAAAGCATAAATGAGGATTCGTTTCCGTCAAGGTGGCTGAGTTTTTGAGTCGATCCCCCTCCCCCTCCTTCTCCTCCTCCTTATGTTCATCTGTTAAAAATCCTGCGTACGGTACTTCTGCAGCTGCAATGTGACCAAATTGGTTTGTGATATAGTGAGTGAAAATATCTCATTGTTAAATGATGTTTTTCTTTTTTTTCTGTATTTATTGCTCGCTGGTGCAGTATTCCTTATCGATTCACTTTCCTTTGCATTAATTATTGGTTTTTTTTTATTTTTCATGTCTCGTTCTCTTTAGTTCTGCAGCTAGTTCACTGATTCTATGATGTTTCGCGTAATATTGTTTTTGGCAAAAAAGTTTCGACTACAGAGAACTCGAGTGAGACTTGAATACTGGGAACTCAGGATCGTTGGGAATGGATAAGAAATTCGGGGAAGTTTCTCTTTGGGGAAGGGATGTTTTTAAAAAATTACCTTATTTTTCTTTGGGCTGTTAGATAGGTTTTGTAAAAAAATTCAAATGCATTTAGATTGGGATAAATGATAGGTCTCACCGATTTTCCCTTGTGAAATATTCGGGAAGCCGGCAGTAAGAGTTGGAGAGGAACGGGAGGAGTTCAAGGTAAGGGAGAGTGAACATTCCTGGATTTTGTCTGGAAAAGAGTACTCTTAGCTCCGTTTTCCTCTAAGCACGGGGCAGTTCGCCGGTTGTTGCTTATGACCAAGTTGGTCTGGCTAAAATTTGCGATTTTGCTTTAATTTTGGAGGCAAAAAGACCCGTAAAAAATA